ATTTCTCGCGCGGGGAAACGTAGCTTGGAATCGGCCGACGCGACGCGCCGGCGAGGCGCACCCATCGCGGTGGAACCTGTCTGCGATTGCGCGACGCGGGCGAGCGCACAGGCGGACGGGTTGCGTGGCACTGACCCACAGACCTGCTCCCGGCCCGGCGTCAGCATTCGGGCAGAGCTGGACCCAAACACTATGCCCCTCCAGCAAACGAGACGGATTTTGTTGCTTGGACGAAGAATCTGGAAGAAAATGAATATGCGTTACTGGAATCCGTGTATTTGTATTCTCTCTGATCTGGACTCTAATCTACTCAAGAGCAGGGTTTCTCAAGTTCGCGCGACGCGGACGGGTTGCGTGGCGCTGACCCACAGACCTGCTCCCGGCCCGGCGTCAGCTTTCGGGCAGAGCTGGACCCAAACACGATGCCTCTCCAGCAAATGAGACGGATTTGGCAGCTTGGGCGAAGAATAAATGAAATAAATTTAATTTGCGTAACTGGAATCCGTGTATTTGTATTCTCTCTGATCTGGACTCTAATCTACTGAAGAGCAGTGTTTCCCAAGTTTGCACTGCGAAAGTCTTGGAGATTCTCGCACGCTCTTCAGATAATTTTGCGAATGCATCATCAGGTAAGAAGTCAAAAAGTCGACAGTAAATTCACGTTTAATCATTCAGAGGATGCTAAAAAAGCCATATTTTCGAGTACAGATAAAATATGTCTTCTCTAAATTCGGGATGCTACCTATCAGTTCGACCTACAGAGTATATTTTAATCTGGGAGAAATTCAGCACTCATCTGTTGCTGGAGGAGACGGCATCCGTTAACGTTATGCTATTCTTTCTGCCATGAATTGCACTGAATTGTCGTACGATCCTGTGTTTCAATCGAGACCAGTTTTTCAATATTCAAATCTTGATTTTCTTTAATTTTAAACGGGTTAATTTCGAGCAAAATAAATAATATTTAAAAATAATTTAATAATATTTTTAAAAACTAAACTGACATAGAGATTGATGAATTTAAAAAATGTTATGATGAAAGAGTTCTAAACGCCATAGTAAATCTTCAAAAAAATTGAATTAAAAAAATATTACTTTAAATGTCTATACATTCATAAAATTATGTGTATATTAATTACGCATACAGTTAACATGTTATTTTCTAACTTAATACCTAATTTTAACTACGTTTTAACTATAATACCTCTAAAACGTACCTTATAAAACGTACCTTGTAAAAGAATTCATAAAAGTATTGCGAGTTGAAAACTACTTAGCACCATTTTCAAATTTGCCAACAGAATACCGCTTATTAGATACAATCTCTTACATGAATCGTGAGACATAGTATTTGAATTCTCAATTGGACATTCATTCTTGCATGATCCTCATGATTTTCACCATCTTCCATCGCTAGATTCTGACACATTTAATTTTCAAAATGTTAATGAGTACTTTTCCAAAAACAGTCGAACATATAACTTTTACAATTCCACAATTCCGTCAATTTGCAGTTATTTGTTTCTCTTGAGATTTTGTTGGTGGAAATGGAGCAAACATTATGAGATAGTTTCGAAATCTTTGGGTAGATGTACCAGCTCTAGTGTAAATTTTCACAAACGAATATTTTTAACTCTAAAATACTCAATCATAGCTGTACTAACTTTTCACCAAAATTCTAGTAACCAATGAAGATTGAAGGTAGCGAACGGCGGGCTATGCTGTCGTTGCTTTCTTTTGCATCTATGTCACAGCATCCCTAAAGCATGTAAAATTAGTAACATAAATGTTGATTGCCTAAACAAAATAATGAACTTCTTCAATTCGAATTCAATTATTTGTTTCTCATTATCTTGATGAACTTAGTAATAGAAAACTTAAAATATTTTTGATGAAATATCTTTTCCCTTCCCCTTCTTCAATTTTGAATTGGTGAGGAGCAACTATTTTCTATCCCAATCCATTTTCTCCTCCTCGTTATGAAAAATTATTTATCTTCTAAAAATATTTTTAAACTTCAGTAGAGCGCAATAATTTCGACATTAAAAATCCGGACTGTCGATTATCCGGATTCGACTCTGTTAAAAAATAACAAGAAGTCAGTACGGAATGTTTATACATATTTGTTTATAAGCGACGACACGATTTAATAATTAGTAAATAAATAAGGAAAAAATAACACGCCAATGTTGTTGGTTTTTTTTCAACTATTCTACTTCTGTTACCATTAGAGGGAATTATAAACGGTTTTACAAAGTTTGCTTATGTTGAAAACGTCTACCAGCCCTCTTTGTTTTAATTTCCTTTTCAATTATCTGGCTTATTGGAATTATTCTGTGTTAGACGTTGTTCTGGGTTCCGAAATGTTTTAGATGGTAATCAAGGATTCTTACCAAAATGAATATGACATTTTATTTTTAGGTTATCCATATTATTTCTGCAATTTTAACGCAGTAAGCAACACATTAAATTCACCTTCGTCGCTGTCTGGTTCATCCGGTTTCGTCTTTTTAATCTTTCGCGAAAGCTGGAGTCGATCGTGAAACCGCATTCCCAGGAGGCGTTCCTCGTTGATTTCGAGACCCAAACACGTTTGAAGGAATATTACAAATGTAACACGCAGCCCGTTTAATTTTAGATGTAAGGTGAAAGGTCCAGCCAAGGTCAATGCAAATCGCCGGAGATCGGGAGGTCATGCAGATCTAATTGCGACCGACACTCGACGTGATGGCGCTACGCATTACTTATCTTGCTCTCTGATCTACCAGCCAGATATTTAGCTGTTGGGAATCGCCGATTTCCTACTACGCTCCGCAGAAATGATCTCAGTTTGACTAAAAGAGGTACATAGTCTACATTGAATAGGGCGTGGTTTTCTTATTAGCTATTACGATAACCTTTGATACTGTGAAATACAATGTTTTGACGTCATGTTTCTTAAACTTTCTTTTTACTGTTTTGTAGAAATATTTTTTGTCATGTTAGTTATGTCTCATTACGTATGCCACGTTAGCACGTTAAAAGGATAAATAATTAAGCAAATCTTTTCCTTTTGAAAATTGGAATGTTTTCAGAAGTTAGTAATATATTTTCTAAGGCTTTTCCTCCCAGAGCCAATTATCCTGCAATCATCAATAGTGTCAATTCGAGCAGTTCTCAATTCCAGAGCGCGAATCATTCAACACATTTCGCTGAACACCATAAGGAAAAAAATCCGTGACAACCGTGATTCAACTAAGTCATCAAGTCTGCATACATTTTCTAGAAATTAAATACATTTTTGTTAAATTTAATTTAAGTCGCATCAACATCTAGACCATTAGCGACTAAATAAATACAATATTTTCACTGAAAAATAATGGCAATTAATTACATTTTTTGCATTAACAATATTAAGTTTTTACAATACTGAGGTTCAATTACAATGATCATTACGGACACAAAAACATACATTAACCTTTCATCAATAATAATTATTACAGAAAGGAGTAAGATATTTCATTATTATGATATAGTTAAATATCGTTCAAAACTCCTATTTCGATACAGAATTTTATTTCATTGCTTTGGTATGTATCATCACTTAGAATTAAAACTTTCTGTGTCCAAAAATTGATATTTTATGGACGTGTTTTGGGGACATTCCTGGATGATGTTATTTATGATCAGTAGGCAATTACAAGAGAAACATATCGGGTTAGGTCCCATATGGCTATGGGACAATTTGGTATGGCCTGATCTAATGCGTAAAATGGTTTTTGTTCACGATGTGAGAGGTTTGCTTGCGTTTTGAGGGCTGTATACGTATTTTTTTTAAGTAGTTTGTAATTTAATATATTGCGACAAATAATATGCACCTTTAGAGTTACTGTTGTGGACTGGGAGAAATCATGTTGTTTTATTTGTGAATTGAAATGTTAACACTCCAACAAATTCCTTCGATCCTTTCCCCATATGTGTCCGCCCCTGGAAACTTCACTGAAATATTTAACTACGCCAATGAAGATATACCCCGCCCCAAATCTAACCTTTTTTATTTTACTACATTTTTTTAAAAAAACACATATCGCTTCACATTACAATTAAATATTTGCATTATGATATTTTTTAAAATTTTTGTCGACAATTGTTTGTGATTAGTTCAAAATATACGTAAAGTGAAGATAAGAATTGAAATTATTTATCCCTGAAATACTTCCTAGATCCACTCTTGATTAACTCAGTCGTTGCGCCTGCACGGACGGATTGCTCCTTCTCCAACATCTACAATCATTCTACATTCATGGAAGACACACGACTTGCCATCGAAATGTCATCATCTTTTAATCATCATCTAGCGTCGCTCTTCCGGCGCAAACGCGTTAATCACGTCCGCGCAAAGAAATCCGGAGCTCCGATGACCCGCCGGCGTCGGACGTCCTGCACCGCAGGACTCGCGTCCGCCTCGGGAAGTCCAAAACCCTCGGCGGCGCCTTGGCATTTGGCGGTCGCGCGCAGGCGGCATCGCGGACGCCACCCCACCCCCCCGACCCCTTGACCGGTAGAGGTGGCTCAGAGCATCAACTGATGTCACTGTAGTCCCTCTGACCGGGAGGTCCTTGGTTCGGGTCCTGATGATAGCAACCGAGGTCGAGTTCAGCCGCTCGCTGTCTGGAGGAGAATTCTAGCGGTCGGCTGCTCTGATCGGTAGTTTTCCGTGGTTTCTCCGATCAATATCAGGCGAATGCCGGAGCAGTGCCGTAACAAACGGGCCTCGGACCGTCCGCGATCTCACCTTCTTCTTTCTTGTCCTAACCTCACCCCTTAGACATACACACACACTTACACTAACATGCACTACACTACCACACATGCTGGGAGGCTCGTCAGGAGCTAAGATATTGTCCGGGCTAGGGCGGTGCCCCGTTCGTGGGAAATACATGGTTAAGGGAAAACCCCGCTAGGCGACTATCCGACCCCGTAGGCGCCGGATCTCGCCATAGGGCAGGGGAAATAGCATCGCCACCTCCCGACAAAAACATACATTACAGTTTCGGGACTAATGGCCCTGGTAGTTGACGTACCCGGAATCACTAAACAATCAACCAATCGACTCCGCGCTTCCGTCCCACCGCCTTCCCCTGCGCCTCCCCCCCCAAACCCATCCCTCCGCCCCCACGCCTCCCCCCCCCGGTGTTCTGTCCCCTTCCTCACCGGCGCACCGGGTGCATCTGCCGCATAAGACAGTCTGAGATGGCAA